TGACAAAAAAAAAATCCCATAAAGTAAATAAGTTGTCAATTAATAAGAATATGTCAGTAACTCAATTTTGACAAAAATGTCAGATAGAACCTTATAATTCTAAGGTGACTATTTGCTGATACTAGAACTGAATTTAGAAATAGTTTCAAAACATCTTTGCGCTTAACAAACAAAATTATGAAATTAAATAGTGTATATAATGGGTGTCTTCAGTGGAGTGTCTCTACCATCGTTTAATAATTGAAATTAAATCCTCCTTTAATGTGTGGTTGAGCTGATCAACTATACATCATATGGGGGTGTAACGGTGCACAACAATAACGTGTTGCCACAGATCTCAGGTTTTAATCGAATATAATTTTAGTGTAAATTAAAAAAAAAGATTTTATTAAGATTTTATTTCTTTATTTTTATTTTCATTTTATGTATTATTATTTTTTATAAGTAATTCAATATTACTTGAAGATGCTGGAGTAGTTAAAACAAAAACACACAAGCGTTAAATAGTCTATATAGGCAGGTGTGAAAAAGTAGGGTTTTTGCCATGAAACTCCTCAGTCCAAATTTTAAAACCATATCCACATAATTAAAGCTGGGATTTAAGTTGTGCCTTATTTTTTATTTATTCTTTTATTTATTTTTTTTTTGGAAAAACGTGAATTGGGACTAGTTTATTATGTTTCAATTTCATGGTCACACTTAACAATAGAGTCTTATTAGTTAATGTTATTTAAACTTGAACTACAAGTAAACAATACATGAACATCATTAATGATAAATTAATGATCAACATTTCACTAGTGCCTTATTAAAATATAAATACTGTTTTTTTTTTTTTATTAATGCACTGAGAGTCAAACTAATAATGAAAAACTTATTTTTCATTAACTAATGTTAACAAACATGAACAAATACAATGTTCATAGTTTGTTCATGTTAGTAATTGCATTGACTAATACAACCTTTTTGTAAAGTTAGCAATATAATAATGGTGAATGATTATGTAAATGATTTTAGTTAAAACATGTAAATATTCAGTACATATCAAATCTGTAATGGATAAAACAATAGTGTGGCTCATGGTAAAAACATTTGCACTCATTATTTTTTTCAATATAATCACCTATAATTTCTTTCACTTTGAAAAGCCTGCATTAAAAAAAAAAATCCATAGCAAAATAAAGAGTCTCCTACTGCTCTTGATGTTCTGGAACTATAATTGGAAACCTCTCCTTTTTAATTTAAGGATCAGAAAGAAAGCAATACAAAGATTATATATATTTTTTCTGCAACTCAACAATGCACAGCATCGTAATTCCCAGAAGCATTGCAGTTTCTCAATTCCAATGTTCTTTTTCCGGTGTTAAATGCACTCTTCTATCCACCTATAATGGGTGGTTGAGCTGAGCAACTATACATTTTATGGGTTGTAACGGTGCACAGAAATAACAATTTGCTACAGATCTCAGGTTTTGAAGTTATGATTCAGTGCATATTTCAGAACAGCAGGAGAGAAATCTAAACACAGCATGTATTCTATGTTTCTTTTTCCCCCTTAGTTAATCCGAAGCATCTCTATTTCACAGTTGTTGCATCAAGATAACGTTACTTAATAATCTAACCAACAAAAATCTAACAGCAGTATTTTATTTTATTTTTTTTTACAATAAATACTGGGTCAATGAATGCAATAAGGTCTTCTTTAATGTTTGTTAGTTAATGCAGTACTTACAGTAGTGTTAACTAATGCTGACTTTTATTGTAAAGTCAACCTAATTATTAGTTACCTAATACTATATAGGGTGGGCCATTTATATGGACACACCTTAATAAAATGGAAATGGTTGGTGATATTAACGTCCTGTTTGTTGCACATTAGTATATAAATAACTAATGAAAGAATACGTTTAAAACTGAAGTACACCATTGTTTTTTTCTTTTATTAAGGTTTATTAAGGTGTATCCATATAAATGGCCCACCCTGTATATTTATAGTATGCTTTTTCTATAAGCCATAGTAGTACATGAGTTGTTTACATGCTACACATTCTTTCTTATCTGAAAGATGTTGTTTTTAAACAATAGCATGAATTTAAATTACAGCATTGTTCCAGAAAAGAAAGAGAATTACTAAATGAACATATATATATATATATATATATATATATAACTTGCTAAAATGCTATCAATTCCAAATGTGTTGTAAATAAGTAATTGTCCTCAAAACATTAGTTCTATGTTTTTTCAAGCATTATTTGGTGCAAATTTGATTAAAAAGGATTATAATATTGTATGGATTTGTTTATTAGTCCTGCATGTCAACATTTGGCCATTCTGAATGTTTATTGGATTTTAAAATAACCCTTCACTTTTTGTTCCACAGTATATTCCTACAAACTTAATTATATTACAAATGACTAATTACTGTAATAAAAAAAGTTAGATATTCTTTGTATTCCAACATTTTATTATCCACTGTTTTAATAGTGTAAAAAAAATCTCAATTCAGCTGCAGAAGGCGATGTTGCTATTCAGTCAGTTCAAGTTCAAAATGCTAATATTTCTGAACATACACTGAATATGTTAGTTGATATTCTCATCATAATAATTTCATTGTTTTGTGTTGCTACATAATCGCCAGTAATACAGAAATTCCCTCACTACATTTGCAGTTAGATGGTGTAGTTATGACTTTGACCAGCAGGGGCTAATGGGATCATGCCAACCATCATAACCTTGACCTGTAATGACTGCATTAAGGCTCTTTTCCGATTAATGTTTATAAAGGATCAGATAAACCAATGTCACGCTCTTCATTGCTGAGCACACAGCATCTTCTTTTTATGTAACGTTTCTGCACAAGTGTTTTTTTTTTTTTCTTCCCTTATATTCTTCTTAGCCCCATTTGCAGGTGGCATTTCAAGTATATGTCCTGCTTTCCTCTGCCTCTTGAGTGAGACACACACGCATATGCACACAGAGCAGAACAACATCCTGCAGTGTAATGAAGACCGATAAGAGACCAATGGATTTATTTATTTATTTATTTTTTAAGTAGGCAGAATAGAAGGACAGATAAAGCAGCAGGGCAGAGAGTTGCCCTTTTGAAGTAAATGCTGTATTTCTGCTGCATTTAGCTAGGACTGCACAGTATATCTTTCTGCATTAACAATGCAATGGTGTCATTGTATCTGCAATAGTCACATCGCTGGATGGTTGACCAGAAATCACTGCAAAATAGGAACACTTTAAATGAAAGGGTTGTTATGACATTTTTATAAAACTAGAGATTTTATACATGCTTATGACAACTGCCATTAAGCGTCATGTCATTATAATGCAAAGATGACACTGTTTGAGATATCTTTATGAAACTTGACATTACCAAGTCATAAACATATCATATCCATTGTCTTGGTGATGTCATGTCAAGCTGACACTGGTGTTGATGGTGGATAAAAATATCTCAGTATTATGGTATTGTGATTACGGCTCTGAAATATATTCTTTTTAAATGTCTGGGAAAAAAAAAAACTTTTCCCTCATTGAACAAAAAAACATTTCATTTTAGGAAACGTTTAAAATGTTTTGGAACAGTAAATATGGTAAGCTAAATAATTAAGATAAATCATTAACTTCTGCTGTCTTTATTAACATTATTTCAAAAACACCAATTTCTTTATAACACATTTAGAGAAAACATAAAAAAAAACTTACATATACTGTAGAAAAGGTATAACAGAAATATTTGCGGTTTTAAAACCTTGACTTTTTTTTTTTTTTTTTCAAACCGTGGTTTTTCATACCTTGAGACTGGATATCGTCCCATGTCTAGTGGAGTGGGTAGATTTTTGAGCATATACTTTGAAATGCAAAAAAAAAAAAAAGAAAAGAAAAATAGTCTTTCCCATGTGGTCAATGTATATGAACTTTTCATTGATTTGAATTTACAGAAAAGATGATATATGGTTTTCAAAATATGAGATCATATCGTCCAGCCCTAATTGTAGATATTTTTTGATGCAATTACCTAGTAATTAATTGCACTTATTATAATGTGGGACTGAAATTTTATCATTTGTAGCCTCAGCAAAGAATAACTTTATTTAATTATTTATGTGAAGACTATACAGTGTTGTTTTGCATTTGATTATTCTACTACTATTATTATTATTATTATTATTATTATTATTATTATTATTATTAATTGTTCTGTGCCTGAATTTGTCAAACTACTTGTAATACTCTGATTATTTCATTTATGTATTCACTCCATTCTGTTTATGTATCTTGTGATTTTAACTTTGTGTGCATACACCTCCCTACAAAAACACTGCTCATCGTTATTTAAAGGTTTAATTTATTTAAATAGAGATATTTAAGTCATTTGATGAAGTTGTAGTTGCAAAACATATTGCAGAAATACAAAATATTGCAATGTGACTTTTCATAATATAACACCTGTGAAGGGAGTAACCATTTCCAATGTAAAATGCATTCTTTCATCCTCTTGTTAAGGGGTGTAAAAGTGAGCTCAGCACACACACACACACACACACACACACACACACACACACACACACACACACACACACACACACACACACACACACACACACACACACACACAGTTTTGATCCAGACCTCAGGTTTTCAAATTGGTTTGTACAACAGTGGTTTACTGAACAGATTTTGGGTCTTTAAAAATGTATGGATTGCTATTATATGATTTTCTTATGCTGTAATATAAGTGCTGCCATGACAGGGCTTAAGCCTATGCCTACACTAACTGTGTGCTTAGAGAACAAAGTTATTTTATATTTAAGTTATATTTAATATATAATATAAAAAAATAAAATAAAATATTAGCATGTTTGGGTCAATAAAATTATTGGTCACTAAAGCGTACTATGCGTTAACATAATTTGGCAGCTGGAAGTAGGTCATTTGTACACTTGATAGTAATTCTGTGTTTTGTTGTTGTTTTCGATTTCCAACAGTGGGCCTGTGACACCCACCACTCCAAACACACCCACCAGCCCAGAGAGCCCTGCAGCACCAGGGTTGCCACCCACTGCAGCCAAACACACCTGTAATCACCTGCACACCATCGGAGGAATAAGCGGACATAAAAACATCTGCCACCGCTGCAACCAGAAAAAATGGCCTCTGTTGAGACGCTCATCCAGCAAGAAACTGGACAGACGCAGTCATGTAGGAGAGGTCACAGTGCTTTCTGTGGGCAGGTATGTGACAGACAGATCTTGCATGTATTATCAGATATGCAAATGTACAGTTGTATTGTAAGTATTAAGTGCTAATGCTTTTAAGTGACTTATTTCCATATGTCAAATATAGTGGGAACATTCAATTCTAAATCCAAATTGAGGCCTGCACGGGCCTTAAATCTAAGGCCTAGGGCTCAAATGCAGAGCTCTAAATCCAAGTTAATGATTTTATAGTTTCTATATGCGATAATAATCTGTTAATAACAAAATGGAATTTTGATTTAGATACTGCATTTTTAATGTCACTTAACAGTTTTTCAATTTGGTTGAGGTCAGTGTATTGAGCTGGCCACTCCCTTACCTCAATAAAACGGAGTCTTGTTGAAACACCCATTTCTGGGCCATTTCCTCTTTGGCATAGGGAAACATAATCTATTTCTGTTTTTTATTTTATTTTATTCAAAGTCATCCATGATCCCTAGTAAACTGTAAATGGGCTGAATGCCACAGCACAAGAATTATCCTCATACCATTATTAGTATTATTAACTCTATTTTTACCTCGTTGACTATTCTTTAATCTGTTTTAATTGTAGTTGCTTGTTTTCATGTGTTTTGAGTTTTTGCTGCCATTAATGCTGCCACTTCTTCATGCATTTTCCCACTTCTCCAATCAGCTTTTTACGTTAATTGCATTGTTCGTTTGAACAACGTTTGGAGCAACCCCTTTACATAATAATTTACAACACAAAATGTATTTAAAAAATGTTACACAGTTCTCCAGTAAGGGCTTATAATGCTGTCTCTGTTACCATCTTGTGGCAATCATTACTTTTAAAACACTGAAAATTGAAGGTTAATTAATAAATGAAATTATTGAATTAAATGCTTTTGGCTCATTCATATGTATAACACAAATGACTTCGTCTGGGCTTTTTGTGGAGACATTACATGGCTCCTATTACATCCCTCTTTTTTTTATGTAGATTCAGGGTTACAAAGTGCGACCCCAAAACTGCACGGGAAAGGCGGACGTTGCTGATCACTGAGCCCAATGGTAGTGTTTCCCCTTCACCTGCCAGTACACACCCCCCTGAACACACCCCAGTCTTACAGCTACCGGTAAGTGCTTTTACTGTGGAAGAAAGATAACTGATCCCTCAATATGCTTCCTCAAAGTTGTGTCCTACCAAGGTGTTTTTTATGCCCTGAGGCCATCATATTTTTTTCAGTTGTCTGCATGAGAGCTTCACACATTTTAAAAGATGAGGTGATGGTCATCTATTGCATTATTTACATTTTATGACTGCCAAAGGTTGAAAAAATGTCTTTGAATATTCATGTCTACAACAGATGGCATCCCTGGACTACCACAATATTAATATGAAGAAGAAAGAATTGGTGGGGTTTTATTGTAATAAATAAAATCTGATTTCAAATGGGGTGTCATGGCTGCACCCTGGGTAGCATGATCGCTTCACAGCAAGGTCGCTGGTTCAGCTGAGTCAGTTGGCATTTCTGTGTGGAGTTTGCATGTTCTTCCTGTTTTCCTGTGCATTTCCCCCACAAGCCCAAAGACATGTGGTATAGGTGAATTGGGTAAGCTTAACTGGCTGTAGTGAATGAGTGTGTATGGATGTTTCCCAGTGAGGAAATATGCTGCGTAAAACATATCCTGAATAAGTAAGCGGTTTATTCCATTGTGGCGACTCCAGATTAATAAAGGGACTAAGCTGAAAAGAAAATGAATGAATGATTTGACATGGGTCCATCAGTTAAATCAGGGGTTTTCAAACTTTAAGACCCCCCTCCCCCCTCCCCCCCCCCCCCCCCCCAAGTCTGTCCAATTTCACTCGCGCCCCCCCCAGGGACCCTCCCTCGAGCCAAAATTATAATGCATGCGCAAACATCAATCACATATTACTTACTGTGTTTAAAGTGCGTAGAATTAATTACATTGAAACATAAATATATAGCTTACCTTATTCAGTATGATGTCTGAGTCTGTTTATGTGAGGACAACATGCTTATCTGTGGTTAAATACCTGACACGACTAACCGTAAATCATCTTCCATTGTCAATAAGCATGAGCCATAGCATAGTTGCTTTTGATGTACGTATATACAGAAAATGCTGCTTCGCAAAGCTAAGTTCTCAAAGCCCTGATTGTTTGGTTTAGTCAAACATTGAGTAAGTTTACATGGGCAACAATACTTTAATACGATTTTAGTATGATTAAGACAATACTCTGATTAAGAGTCAGCATGTAAACAGTGATTTTTGATTACTCTTTTTTGACTAAAGTCATAGCTGAACTAAACGGAAATGGAATTAAGACGTGGAATATGCAGATATTGGTGGCTTTATTGAAGTAAACACCGCAATCAAACTATTACCGACATGTAGGAATTTTCACTGCATTTTGAGACCAGATCCAAGGACCGCGCGCACAAATCGCGAAATGCAAATTATTCTAATTTTTTTTTCCATTCAACGTGTGGTATCAATAAAACCAACACACTTCTACCAGTTCATATTCTTGCAAATACCCCAGTTTGTCACGGGGATATGAATGAAACTGCCGAACTACAGTTAAACTCAAGAAATTGAAGATAAAACACCCAAAATTACATGAGACTCTGCAGGAAACGTGAATAACCTGGTGATGCAACATTCTAAAAGCACCTCACGTAATTCTATTATTGTCTAATTCAGATAAAGGCAAATAACAATTGCTGATGTCCATGTAAACATAGTCAGAAGTCTTCAAAGTAAGAGATCCAGAAGGGCATTCTGCTGATTTGATTCAGAGGGGCACTTTTTTTGTCAGACGGCTCACCGGTTTTACTTTTATTCACCGTCATTAGTTTTAAAAAGCACCCGGTTCATTTTGTTTGTATATATTTTACTAGAACACATTACCTCTACAGGTGCTAATAGTTAGAAGTGAAGCTAATGTTAACCATAATACTCCCTCTAATGAACGCATAAAAATCATCATCATAATTTATTCGAGTGCACGCCTCAATGTCTCGGGACCCCACCTTAATAGGTGCTGGTGCCCCCCTGGTGGGGCGCGCCCGACAGTTTGAAAAACCCTTAATTAAACAATGTGGCTCCAATGCTTCTCAAGTGCTAATAATTGCTTTGCAGGACAAATAGCCTGATGTTGTGGACCCATCAATTGTTATTTGGTTAATTTTCTTAGGTTAAATGTGCAATTTCATTAGCAGTGCATGTCATTTTAAGTTGTTTATTTCACATGAAGGTGGACTATTTCCTTACAACAGTAACGGAGAAATATTGTTTCATTCAGTGCTAAATTATTGATCAAAAACAATGAACATTTTATGTATGTTTTTTTTTTTATCGACTCTCTTTAGAAAATTGACGTCATAGAGGAGCATGAAAACTGAAAGATGGCAGCGAACCCTTCTTTCATTTAAAGTGTCAATCATGGAAAGACCGCAGAAGCCATTTTACATACATTAACCTGTCACCATGCCAACGCTCCTTTCTCAAACATCCTGTTGTCATTATCAGAGGTGGATGGCACAATTTGAGCTTGTTAATGCCTTGGAGCGTGTCAATGGTTAATCCAAGCAGGCGCCGTGGTCTGAAAACAACGCCATGTTCCTCTCTGCATTACTTCCGGGAAGTGGGAAGCTATGTTTAAAAGGTTTCTTTTTTTAATTGCAAGCTGTGAAAAACATGGAAAAACCATGAAATTTCTCACTGGTTACAATCTAGATCAAACTTCTTTTAACCTGTCATCGTCTTAAATGTGTTGGGTTACATCTTGTCACTAATAAACATTTTCACTTTTTTGGTAAATCTATGCATGTTTAATAGATTAATTTATAAACCTAAACACCTTAATTGAGCAGGAATTAGCTGGTTGATGTCTAGGTCAGAGCACTGTGATGGTTACACTAGTCTATTAAACACTCATTGGTGTAAAAATGTTAAACTTAGTTTCATGATTGGATATAGCTTGCATGTTTAAAACGGCACCGCATTCAGATGCTTCCCCATGTCTGTAGCACATATAATAATATAACGTCAGCCGTAAACAAGATAACTGTATCCTTCACTATATTCTTATAATCTATGGAGAGGAAAATTGTGTATGGTACCTCAAAGTGTCCTTGCTTTAATGCCACTTTTAGGCAATAAGGACAAAAAGGACTTTTAATAGTTCTTAATAGTAAAAAAAAAAAAGAGTGTTTTAACCAAAGCAAATTTTCAATAAATATAAAGATGACTTTTTAAATATGTTTTGCTTTTTAATTTTCTATTCTGTAATATATATTGTTGTTGTTATTATTGAGTATGTTTTGCCTTGTTTCTGTTTACTCAATGAGGTTTTCTAGCTCATTTCTTGAGCTTGGTGAAGTGCTGGAATGATTAGTCTGATTTGAGATGCCCTCAGCCCTCCTGTTCAAATATTAAATTATTAAAAAGGAAGCCTTAACCTTGTTAACATGTAGAGAAATATTCACTTCAAGGATGTTTACTTCTGAAATTGCCAAGAAATAAAGAAATGTTGAAAATGTGTAAACAGAAGAATTGAAAGAAATGTAACGAGTGAGAATGTGCTGTTATATTTTACTGAATATTTTGTACCAAGAATTTATACATTAAAAAGATTAAACACAAACTGGATTATTTGTTTTTTATTTTCTGATTTATTATCTGAAAATCTTAATTTTAATCCAAAGCAGATCTTTTCCTCACACACAGCCGACTTGTGTATTTGCTACACTGCAGGTGAGTGGGCTTGACAAACCACCTTTAGGATACTCGCTTTCCTTTCTTTATGCACCATTTTGTTGTGTACGGTGTATATTTATATTGTGTGTATATATAAATACAGGCATGCATATATTTGAAAAAAAAATGTTTATTTATAATTAGATTTAATTTATATATTTATATGATACAAATTATATATAATTTTTAAACTTATATAAAGTTTTGAATGTTTTATACATTTATTTTTATTGCTATAACTTTCTATTTCTTTATTAAACATTGTCTGTTTTTTACTTCATATATTTCAAAATGTAAATTACTGCATACCGTTCTGTGTATGTTTATGTGACAAATACATTTTAGTTTGATTTGACTTGACTGGTGTAGCTCAAAGCTAAACAGGCTATGAGAATTCTTGGAAATGTTTCACTTCTGTGTTCTTTCACATTTCTCAGCACAGCAAACTCCCAATGCTTATTGTTTGTACCTCCATCAGGGAAAACCAAACTGAACTGATCTAAACTGAACTTCAACTCTGAAAACTGGAATCGACAATTTCAATTTACTAGAACTTCTATACTAAGCTGCTTTGACACAGTTTACATTGTAAAAGTGCTGTACTGAATTGAATGCCTTTATCCATTATAAGGCTTGAGGAGTTTTTGTTGTGTGTGTTTTTTTAGTAGGCCTGGACTGTTGTTAAAATGTCTGTTAATAGGTGACTGGGTTAACTCTAGTTGCCTTCAGGTCAAGTCAAACACAGAAAAGCAATCGTTCCCATCTTTCCATGATCTCTGCCTACTTACCCATGACCTGCTGGAAGGCATGTGACCTTATGCATTAGATGCATTGTTTTTGAGAGTCAAGGTCTATTTTTGTACTTTATGCATCAGGAAATTTCTCAGAACAAAGTATCATTAGGCAGTAGGAATGTGCGGTAACCGTATAAGTCTGGAGCATATAAATGGTTAACCTGCTGTAGAGTATTATTAGTCTGGATATGTTTTGGGATTTGTGAGTCATTAACTCAAGCCCACACAGACTTTAAAGAGATGAGAACACTCACAGGCACACAGCAGAAGGCTTATTCAGGTAGTTTCATGTTGTCTGTTCTGTATGTGTAAACCGCTGGATATAAAAGAAACTGGACTCATGTTTTAGCTATTGTACTAATAGTGCGTACGGTTTCATTTGTTAAAGGGAGAGTTCACCTATAACTGAAATACACCATGACAGCACAGTGGGGCATAGCGTAGCACAATCGCCTCACAGCAAGAAGGTCACTGGTATGAGCCCCGGCTGGGTCAGTTAGCATTTCTGTTTGCATAACTATACAGACAAAGCAAAATAATGTAATAAGAAAATATCAGTTTGCAGCATCAAGCAGCAAAACAAGCTGTTTTTAATGTCTAAAAATGAATGGAAGTAAATCAGAGCAGAAGTGTCGAGCTAAAAAGATTCAAATGGCTGCGCCCACTAATACGTGGAGAATAAGGTCAATTGATTGTGTTAGAATCTATTCCACAAAGTAAATGGCACACTTCTGCATCACTGCAGTATTGCAGCAACCTGCTAAGTCATATAAAGAGTCTCTGTTCTTTTCAGTTGTTTGATCTTTTTTGGCCTATTTTTTGACAAAAGGTCCGGGATTGAGTAACAGAAGTCAGGGCTTCACTAAACTCCATACTCACTCTTTCTTGTCACTCTCTTTTATCGTAAAAACACTGATATAATAAAATGACTTTTCATACTGTCAAAAGCAAAACATCAAAGCTTCAATTAAATTAAGAGTGAATTAAAATCATTGAAGATGGCTGAGGCTATATTGAAACTCCTGACAATGAAAGATTCATAACACCAACCATTTAACCTCTGTTTACACTCAGAAGTAAAGGTATAAAATGGGTGGTACCTTTTGAAAAAGTACACTTGTTCCTTACAGGGCCACATGCGTTCTTTTAAAGTACATATTAAAGCTTTTAAAAGTACAAAAGCGAACTTTATGGAATCTTAAATGTGTACTTTTAAGGTATTAATCACAGATTGTAAAATATATGGAAGTAGTATCCGTGACGTCACCCATAGGTTTCTGAATAACACAAAAGAAGCTACAAGTAGGTGCGGCCAACCAGGCAACATTTTGTTTGCATGTCATTGCTCCAATAGGGGGTAACGAAATAAGGGCAAAGAGGTGGAATGTGAGCGGAGCTTAAGACATCTGCTAGCTTTTTGCCTAAACAGGCTTTTCTTTAGGAGAAATGCTGAATACTTCATTACTTGCGACTCGTTTGTGTTCTGATAACATGTATTTTGTTGTGTAGTAATAATAATAATATCTTTTATTTTTAGGCATCTTTCAAAGCACTCAAGGAGACCTTACAGCCGATCACAAACACATCATAAAAATACAAGCAGTCTAAATAACAATCAGCATCAAATTAAACCAGCAAATCATTAAAAGCTATCCTAAACAAAAACATTTTTTATCTGAGATTCAAAATTGGAAATAGTCCATCTGGTGAATGTGCAAAGGCAGGGAATTCCATGACTTTGGTTCTGTACAGCTAAAAGCCCTGCCACCAAATGACTTCATAAGTGTGGAACCGATAACAGTTCAGCAGAAGATGATCTCAGTGAGCGCAAAAGAGTGTACAAATGAAGAACATCAGAAAGATAGTGAAGGGCCAGGTTATGAAGAGCTTTGAATGTTAAGAGGAGGACGTTGTATTGTATATGATAGTGAACAGGGAGCCAGTGAAGGTGAGCAGAGCAGGTACTGTAACTATCCTGGCCGCTGAATTCTGAATTAACTGTAGTCTATGTAGTTGTTTATCATGAATGCCAGAGAGATGTGAGTTACAGTAATCAATTTGTGATGTAACCAAAGCATGAACAAGCACTTCAGTACTTTGTTGAGATAGTGAAGGGCGAAGTTTTGCAATGTTACGCAAATGAAAAAAGGCAGAACATGAGATAATTTGAGAACTAAATGAGAGGTACATCCAGTATAGCATCAAGACTTTTCACGTGGGCTGAGAAATTGACTGGGGAATTATCAATAAACAGGGTAAAGGATTGAGCTTTAGATAAAACAGACTTACAGAAGCGCTTCAGTTTTACTGGCATTTAACTTATAAGTCATCCATATATTAGATAAAGTAAATGTACTATATCAATAAAGTGTTTAGTTTTAAAAACACTGTTAAAATACATTGAGCCACTTAACATTGTTCTTATGACGTTTTTCTACTGGAGGAAAATGCAAATGACTTCCAAATACTTTAGTTATAGTCTGTGTTGGTAAATGCAAGACTATTGATGAAATCCAGGCATAACACTGTATTACAACACTTCAGATGACTGTTCAATAGCCTAGAGCTGATCAATCTGACAGATCCTGGAGTGCATTCAAGCTCTAAAGAAAAAATATAAATAATAAAGCATCTTAAATAAAACAAATACATTTAAAGAAATGGTAAGTGTATAATTTTACTCACCTGGAAAATGGAGGCCACGTGAATGGTTTGTGAGCACAATTGAGTGCACACAGCATGCCATATCATCTGATAATTGTAGGGAAATAAGTCCAAAAGGCAAATGACTGTGTAAAGCCACATAAAACAAAACAAAAATACAATGAATGCCAAGTTCAGCAGCTAATCAGCCTGAATGTGAAGGTGAAGTGATGGTGACCAGCGAGAACTGCAGACTTAAAATAACCTAATACAAGGGAAACACACGAGTTGTCATGAACGCACAGTTGTCATGAAGGGTAATATTAGCTATATGAAACAAAGCCATCTTTTGTACCAGGGTGTAAATGTTTTTATCAGCTGTAAAATTAGCCAATTTAACAAAGCAATCAGAAATTATCTGGATTTCCTTGAACCAGCCCCCAAAGGCGAGTCTATGAATTACAGTTTCAGTTACTTCTGTATTGGCTTCCCGAGGAAGAGCGGGAGGTTGCTTGATACCGATGTGCACATTTAAAGTAGAAAAGGCACCACCCCAGTGACAGGTTTTGTACCTTTATTTCTGAAAGTGTACCGATGTCAAGACTGGTTAATTTTTACCCTTTCATACATTTAAAGTTTCCAAAACATCCGTGTCTTAACAGTTCAGCCAAAAATGAAGATGTACTCATCAGAAAGTTCAGGAAAAATGGCTGCATTGAAATGGTATTAATGGACAATCTAAAATCCCTTAACCAAAGTCAGTTTTCAAAGTGGTTCAGTATTATTACTTCTTGGAAACAAGTATTGAGTGTATCCTTGACCAATGAAGTGTATTCATTTCTTTCCTGTCAAACAGAAAGAAAAGCCACTGCAAATCCATGGCATTTTGTCATCTTCCAAGGTGCAAAATATTTAATACATGAGAAAAAATAAATGGCTACAGAGGCTTCTCCCAACATAGCAATTTCCATTTTTCATTTTGATGTCTGTTGCCAGTTAATCAGGAAGTGACAATTTTGCTTATGCTTTATGCTGTATTCCAGTTTTGTGCATAAATCTAATTTGCATCTTTGTATAGAAACATAGCTAATGGCTACCAGAAGTGACGGGTTGAAACATGACGACAGAGTTGTAATTTTTTTCGGTGAACAATCTCTAAACATTTTACCATTTTGAGCACAAAAGAATTGTGCAAAATATACTATCAAATCACAGGATAATTCACCAAGATTTCCCTCAAGATTCTTCCTGTGGGGATCATAAGAGTTTTTTATTTATTTATTTATCTTTTTTTTTTTATAAATTTTTTATAAATTATAAAAAAAGTTTTTTTTTTTATATAAGTCAAACAAACACTAAATGTTACTCAACAATAATTGGATTTTTTTTCTCTAAAACTCAAATTCCAAACATTTCTATCAAGTTAGAAAACAATCATTTATAAGTTACTAATAG